TAGTGTTAGTTAAAAAAGTAAATTATTTATATCTATTTCCTTCCAATCTAAAATACTTAATTGCGTAATTGTAATAAACATTATTTATTAGTACATATTTTCTTATCTCATATGGCGAGTAATGCCTACCTGCGTTGAGTTCCCGCCGCAAGCAACAAAATTGTGTTGCATCACCACCACATTATCACACAATGAGATACATCCACCCCTATCACAGTTATCGTTTTCATTTTCGAAGCGTATGTCGCTGATTCACCGGTGTCGGACACTCGCGAACGATCTCGGACACATTTTGGGTACACCCGGACACTTAATCAACTGTTAATGAGGGATATGCGGCACAAGTGTTTACAAATACGAAGGGCGGGCGGCTGGGCGGGCGGCCGCCGTCGCGGGTGCGGGGTCAATGGCCGGGGTGTTGGCGCGCGTTGTCATGGAGACGATGCACTTGCTGGTACATCGGATGGCAGAAGTGTCGAGCGAATGTTTTTGCCTAAGTACCTAAGTCCATATTAAAGAATATGTTTCTCCCACTAAGGTAGGATACCTATGGAATACATAATAATTAATATTTTAAACGTCTAAAAATACTACTTTTTTCAATAATAATTACCTCATTCGTGTTATGTTCACAAAGCTTTCCAAAAGCTTGTGAAAGAAAGAAACTTTATAAGATTACTTACAAGCCTCTCATAATATCATTACATAGGAAAAAAATCTTTAACCTTTTCTGGTAGTATCTGTTTTCATACTCTTTGGAGTCTACGCACCAAGACTAACCCGCTGCAGTCGGTCAAGGCCCTGTTTACAGCTTTCTGACTTTATCGCCGTCTCTCTCGGGTTCAAGGTGTTCCGTATTGTGGTCTCTGTCTATATTGCTAAATATTAGGACTGAGTAGGATCTACGGGTTGAATATTGAGAGGGTTAAACGCGTCCTTGACCTCATTATTAATTGAAAATGGAGCTAATGATGTGCTATGTATTTCGTAGGTTAACATTAAATATTTGTAAAATTTTGTAAGATTTTAATTGGTCTATTATTTGGAAAGAAATTTTAAAAGTTTGCTCTTTTGCCTCCTGTCTTAATATGTTTACTATCACGTCTTTTCTGTATTAAGTAACACTTAAATTATTTTTGCTGCTCTTGCATGCTCCCAATATGATTTTCCGTTCATTATAGGCCTACCTATCCTCTGTTGTACCTCTCCCTACTTTACTTGTCCTAAAAAAGGTTTGTTAAAGGAGAATGGGCAAAATCGTATGGCGCTTGGTCTATCAGCGGCCAGGAACAATTTTTTGTTTTTTTGGTTTACTATCACCCTACAATCACCCTCAAAAAGTTTTATATCTGTAGTGTAATTATTAATGGAATTAAATACATTTTTATTTTAGATATGTAAGCCTGAGATTTAGCTTATTAATAACTAAGATTAAGTCCTAAAAAATAAGGAAATAATATAAAATGACTTGTTTTCTTCAATACATATACATTTATTTTCAAAAACTTCTCCAAAAATAGTTATAATGATAACGTCATCAGAACTCAGTGCTATAATTACATTAATACATTTAATATAATGTACATAGGCTATTTTATTATGTTTATTTTATTCATCAAGACGAGGATATTTTATTGCCGTCATCAGGACACACTGTACATTATTATACATTAATACATTTAAAGTACATAGGCTAGTCTTGTAAACGGTATAATGAGGTTTCGAAATACTTTTGAATACATAACTAATGTTAATAAGTATTTTATAAATTGGGTATGCACATTTTTTTGCATATATTATCTAAGTATTTTACCTACTTGTATTTTTTTTTTCTTAATGAGCTGCAATGTTACGTTCATAGTAAAAGTTAGTCCTTAGTAATAGTACTTTCATTTAATACCTATTTCGTTGTTGGCCGCTCATAGACCATTTTGCTCATTCTCCTTTAACAAAATTTTTTTTTTTCTGTATCCAGCATGAAGAGAAGAACTTACCAGTCTAGTACTAAACACTTAATTAGACTTCATGGAAATTTCTTAATTAAATTAGTTTTACAATATCTACGTTTAATTTTCTATAATGTTTTTAATTTTACGATTTCAAATGTAAAAGGCTTGCAGTGCCATCTTTTATTCCTTGGTAACGATACGAACGTACGCGTACACCCACCCACAAGCAACATGCGATTGGGTCGTTCAAACCAAGAACACGTTGATAGTGTAGCCGTAGCGCTGTAGATGGCGCTACTAGTAGCTCATGTAGCACGTAGCACGGTAGCACAAAGACAAATCATGGGCTTTTGAAGTCGAAATAATTAGCTAAAGTTAATTTTTATAACAAATTAATAGTTTTAGTAGGTACAGACATACTAGAAAAGAAAGATTTATTTATTTTTGTTTTCTTCTGCTCTACTCGTATTATTTCATCTTAAACTAATAGCAGTTACAAGTTACACTGACGACTAATTATCTCTACATTACTTATTTTTACTAGCTAATTGGACTAACAAGTTGAGACACATTCTCCTCTAATTTGTTAAAATGGGTGTGTACATGGAGCCAAATTGTTAATCAACTTTATTAACAATTTCGCTCCATGTAGGTAGTACCTACGCACTTTAAGTGACATAATCAGATAAGGAGCACTATAAGATATTAGAAAAGAAAGCAAGTAGATTAAATTGTTAATGGTTATAATCACAATGATAATTAGCAACAGACGATTAGAAACTGGAAAAGTAGGAAATATTTATTTTTATTGCTTTTTGATTGTATCTCGAGTTCAAACTAATCTACCTTTACATTTTAAAACAAAACGTAAGGTAATTTAGATGATGTATGATACAATTTGACCAGAAAATCTTTTGTTAGTACCTGTGAGAATTGGTTATTCTTAACTGAGCTTAACAGGAAGTTTATAATAAGAGGAATCAAAAATTAAAAGCTTCCTGAAATAATGTCCATTGCTCATTTCTTTTCCTCGAGTAAACTTTTCAAGCCTTTCCAACTCCTTTCATCGAATCTTTCCTGAAGGTTGAACCACAAAAGTGCGTGGCCTTCCTTCAAGGTTAAATCATAAAAGTGCGTGATAAGTGGGTATTAATTTCTTGGAATTTTACATTTCAGGTACACAACATTCTAAGAAAATCTTCAATGTTTAAACGATAGAGCATTAACATAAATAGGTGTAGAAAAGAACAGCCATTTACGGAGTAGATAACTGATGAGTGTAATTTAAACAAATAGGCGCATTTAATCCAAATCCAGTCGTAAATTGCTTCGCCGGCGCTCTAACAACTTGCTGCAAGTGAAAATTTGTGTTTCGGAGATATTTGTTCGGCTAATGGATGGAGAAAGTTGTTTGTTGTTAATATTGTTTACTGTTTGCTAAACACAATCCTAATAGACACTGCTAATGTATGTTTTAATAAGAACGTTGCAGTATCACCATACATTACGATGTACGTAATTTTGTTAATGTTTACCACAAACCTATGTTCAGGAATATTAATTTTAATATCTCTGCCCTGAAAAGGGCCTACAAAGTAATAACGAATTAAATTAGAATTTGAAAACAACAGCCCATTCCACCAATTTACATAAAATTGTTGTTGAATACTATTAACCAATTACTAAAACGGTTATATTATTTTAAAATAGCTCGTTGTTACTGACTTCATGAATATAAACAAGATTTCTAGAGAAGCCTTGAACTTAAAAACAAGTGAGATGAGTCAAACTAATATTATATTAACTTAAAGACAAGTTATAATCAGATTTAGTAGAAAATAGCTCAGTGAAATAATAAGTTTGGTTGTACATTAATAACAGAACCGTGAAAAAAATTATAACATCTTATAACATAATGATTGAAGAATTTACTTCAATGTAAAGATTTCATTTTGTCACAATGACATGTCAGAATTTGATGTGCTTCATCAGCACATTATTCTACGTGCTCAATAACTACTTCATGTCCTCTTAATCTATATATATGAAGATTTAGAGAACGCAAAATAGTTACAATACAATGCAATTAATTACAATATCAAAATAAGTATATCAATCCTATGATTACAGAATTTGATTTCGAATCTCCAGTAATTTAATTTGTTAAATGTTGCAGCCTGAATAATAATTGGATTGGTAGAGCAGTCGTCCGAAATCAAAGGTCCTCGAAGGGGCCTACTAGTGTATGAATCCTTTCGGAAAATCCATTGAGACGTTTAATTGAAATGTGAGGACAAGAGCCAATATCAATTGTTGGAGTGCCCAAAGACTATCTCTGAATATCTTTGTTTAAGCCTGATGGCGCAGTGCCCTTGCTAACGCATCAAAGATCACAGTCGTAGATATTCCTCATCCTCGAAGTTCCACGTCAATATCCCTTAATCATAGGCCGCGTCTGTCCCAACTTTTGAAACATTGTTTATTTCTCAAAAAATGTTTTACAAAATTACTGTGTGTGAATCGGACATTAGTTTAAGGATTCCACGTTGTTAACAGTGTCATGCTACACCTATATACGATTACCTAGCAAGAAAGAACGCAAATAAATACTTATAGCATTAAATGACCATGAACTAAGAACTAAGAAATTCCAGCAATTTTAAAATAAAAACCGGTTTTTGTTATCATAACGCATCACGTTTATCAGCTCCGATGATAAGAAAGGTCTGGCTTATCTGATTGTACAGTCACGCGAAAAAAATCTGTCAGAGTTTCAAAATGTTAATTTTTATTTAAAATGTTTTTCTTGCTTTGTGACAAACCACTGAGAGATTAAATGATCTTTGATGTCTATATTTTTAACAGAAGTTGACTTAATATTTAAAAAATAAAACTTTACGCCTCTACCCACATCAGTTCATATGCCAATTTGATGCCTTTCACGTTTTACACGTCAATTTTCATACCATTTTTTTTAAATTTACATACTATCCTACCTAAGTTCTGAACGTGACTGTACCCATATTATCTAGCGACTTCATCATCACCTCATCGCGTTAGTTTGCCCATAATGCTGTGCTATGTGATCGCGCTGTGTCTGATCGGCGCGTGCGCAGCCGCCAGGGTCCTGGTGGTGTTCCCGGTGCCGGACCGGGAACACAGCGACCTGGGGGACGCGGTGGTCCGGACGCTGCTGGCTGGTGACCATGAGGTACACTTGTTATTGCCATTTGTAGATAGGACACTACACTCTGTAAATAAATGGCATTCTTTCTTTCTTCCAAAACATTGATATCAAACACTCTTGCTTAATAATTTGAATCATCTAATTTCAATATAAAATTTTTAAACATTTGTACCAATTGCGAATATTGAATTTTCCCTTAACTACATTTGACCTTTTAAGATACCCACAGAAACTAAATTAACGTTCTTAATTAAAATATTTACAAAAGAAAGCCTACTTACGTCACACCAAACTGAATGAAATTGCCGCGACATTTGAGGCTAAAAATAAATACAAATAAATAAATGATCTGCTGCCTACGCCTAATCAAAATACAATTAATTTTTTGCTCTCTCTCTAAAGTAATGAACGTTTTTGTGCCCCAGCCCAACTCACTATCTTTCTTTGTCGTTATTAATCTGTTTGTAACGGAAATAAGTTAAGAATAAACCATTTAACCAGGTTACCTACGTGTCCGTGTTCCCCAAAAAAACATCGAACAGCAACCTCACGTACGTCGACATCAGTTCCATTCTCACTCAGCAATCCGGTGAGTTGTGTTTTTATAACATCGTTTACAGCAATAAATAAAACTAATCGTTTTGTGAAAAGCCAGTATTTTATGCAACGAGATATTGAAGTAATCGAGTAATATTCTTCTCATCTTTGACTATTGTCAATGTTCTCAAACAAAAATGTATGTTTCTTTAGATAAGAGCCAAAGTCTCTATCTATCTGGGTGTCATATTTGATTAAAATCTGTTTCGCTTTTGACTCTACTAACTCCCGGATTCATGAAATTGGAAAAGAGAAAAGCTCATCTTAACGTAGCCCTGTCAGTCGAAATAAAACTTGAAGAGCTTATGAACTTCTGAAGTACAAAGTGTAAAGCGAGCTGCTGGCACGTAGAGCTCGGGAATAGTTTAAGGCGTCTCCGCTCATGTTACTCCAGCGTGTTGCGAACTCGCCGGGAATTTGCTCTGAACAACGTGAACTCGAGCTTATAACAAGACACTTCTTATAAACTGCTTGTTGATGCTTTATTTACTGCTACATTTCCTAGGAATACTTAGGAAAGTAAAAATTAGACTTCCAATAAGTAAAACTGTCTTACTTTTTGTGTTAACTTCATCCTCAGCCAAGGAATTACCAAATGATAAGCAAGTATTGAGCAACGGACAGCCAGCGCACTTCGTCTTGAAGAGCGGCCCACGATATGCCAAAAATGCCTTGCAGCATGAAGCTATAAGGCAGCTGATCCACGACCCTTCTACAGCCTTCGACGCTGTCGTCCTAGATTGGTTCTACAGCGGACTTTTAGCTCCGTAAGTAATTATAATCAAGAAAAATATTTCCCTAAATAAAAACAGATTAAAAAAAAAAAAAAGAAAAATATAGTTTTTAGTCAAAGTCAAGATGAAGCTAATTATAAATTCTATTTATTTGCCTAAAATTAAGTTAATGAGTATTTTTAAATCATGAAACCTAATAAAGCAACCCAAAATAACCAAGTTTGTAGTAGTAATAACAAAATTCATTAATAGAAATAACAAAACAAGATTGGAAAACGTAATTAATTACTTTTGATGTACCTTAAGGTTAAATACATAATATTTTACTAATGAAAATTATTCTAAAGTTGGATTGATTTCTTTGAGTTTTCTCCGATTACCTTTTTTATATAATTAACTTTCGCGCAATTCCAGTTTTCAGAATCAATGTTAGTGTAAAGTAGGTTGTTATTAATTTCATTGAAAGGCGACCATTGTTTGCGTAGAATTTTAATTTCGTATTCAGGCTTTATGCCGTATTCCTTCGGGGCTTTTCAATTAATAAATAGAAATCCCTTCTCACCTTAAACGTCTCTTACAAAAGTGCTTGCCGAGTTACCGGTCCAAGTCGACCGTTATAATATGATGCGATTTTCGCAGAAAAACAAAAAACCTTACTGAGAAAGATTTCAGAATTTTCATAGTCATTATGGTCACAAAATTGCCGAGAATTTTATACAAAAAAGGAATTTGGAACATTTCGTTTAAGAAATAATCACAAAATATGCTTTATTTATATTACATATGTATACAATTTAAGCATAAGTTATAGTAACTAATGTATCTGTATTTATTGAAATACGGTTTGAACTGACCAAGTGATTCATCAATTTCTTATCAGATTATGTATTAAAGTCTTTTTCCGTCTACTGAAATAGACAACAATAAAATCAACACTAATGTGTTTTCAGTCTTGCGTCTTTATTCGATTGCCCGCTGATCTGGTACGTCCACGGCGACGCGTCGGGGCGCAGCCTGGCGCTGCTGCACGAGCAGCCGAGCGCGGCCTACAGCGTGGACTTGCTATCAGGGCACGTGCCTGCTGTGCCCTTCACCGCTAAGGACCGGGCGTATGGGCTGGGGCTGCAGGCTTACTACAACCTGTGGGCATAGTAAGCATTTTAATCTTGAAATTTCTGTAAAAGAAAGGCGGTTTGGAAAACTCTTAGTCCTGCTACGGCTATGTACTTTGGATAGTTATGATTATTGCTGTTGACTTTTTGAGGTTCAATCTTTAGTTACACCACATCTTCCACCACGTCTCATATCTCTTTCTCGGAACTATCATACATCGTTACGTTTTACGTACTACTTCTTCGTTACGTTTTACGTACTACTTCTCCAGTTAACTAATCGAGGATTTTCTGGTAATAACTTGGTAATTCCTATCCAATTCAAACTTGCAGTTACATCGAGCACTTTATCGAGATACCAGCATACGACGCCATCTTCCGAACCCCGATGCAACTGCGCAAGCGTCTCTTACCGAACTACGAGGACGTGGTCTACAACGGCTCCCTTTTGCTGGTGAACTCACATCCACCGCTGGGGCAGACCCTGCCACTGCCACAAAACGTCAAACTGATTGGGGGCCATCACATTCGGGAACCAATACCACCTTTGGCTAAGGTACATGAGCAATCTCATATGGTCATTGAACAGTTTATGCTTTTTAATTAATTAGCACGTCAAAGATGTGGATTAGGGAGATAAAAGAGTTACTTAAAGTGTGTGTTTGTTATTGAAAAATACATGTAACTAGATGTTTAATTAAATACCATAAAGTTTTTTATAGAGTCTGCAAGCGTTTATGGATAACACCAAAAAGGGAGTGATCTTCATCAATCTCGGAAACTTACAAAGAAACCTGCCTCACCAACTGAAGACACAAATGCTGGATGCCTTGAGTCAGTTGGAATATTTAGTGCTCTGGCAATTGGAAGACCCCGTGGAATATGTTCCTAAGAATATCCGTTTGCTGGACCGGGCGCCACAATTGGGCATATTGTGTAAGAATACATTTACATAACCGTTAACACTTTTAAGATATCTCGTAACATAAGCACAATTATTGATCACAAGTACACTGAATGTTGTAGCTTGACAATCGTATCTGGTTACTTATTTAGGTAAAAATAAATATTCCAGGTCATCCTAGCACCGTGTTATTTGTCACTGACGGAAGCCTCTCTTCGTTGATGGAAACCACTCACTGCGGAGTCCCTTTTGTAGCAGTTCCAAGTTCTGGCGAGCAGAATGTGAACGTTGACCTTTTGGTGGGTCGATTATTGGGTCGGAAGGTTCAAATAAACAAATACCTGCCCTGGACACTTCAAGGGACGATTGAAGAAGTTCTGAGGGACCCTAAGTAAGTATTTTTTAAATTAATAAGTAATATTATTGAAAGCGATTGAGTGAATTGAATAAACAATACCAACATAGGCATTTTCCATTGTTATTTGTAACTAAAAAGTATTTATCTAATAATTTGTAACTTACCCCACCTCTTTTTTCCTCAGCTATAGTAAAAATATGAAAGAAGCATCAGCGGTGTTCAAGAGTCGCATCCAACCCCCAACCTCTGAGCTTCTGTATTGGGTGAACCTGGTCATTGAAACCAGGGGGGCGACCCATCTGCGATCCCCTGCGGTGACCGTGCCTGCCCTTGAGAGGTACCACGCAGATCTGTGGGTGCTATTTTTCCTGTTCCTCTGGTTCTTGTCAAAAGCTGTGAAGGTAGCTCAGGTCCATCTGAAAGATTTGGAAAAGAAGAATAAATAAATGTTATAATGAGTGAATTCCAGTAGTTTATTTATTCTTCTTCTTCTTTTCGTGTCGACAACAAACCTACACGGTGTCAGCCCAAAACTCCGCCACAAGAGTGGCGTTGTCAGTAGCACTCATCAAATCCTCCTGAGTGCAGTTGCTTGGGCACTCAGGGCATGACATTATTTATTTATTACTTATTAATAAAGATACACCAACAGCAATACTTTAAGTCATTCACAGTTTAGTTAAATGTTTCCTTATTTTCGTACAAAGTTACAGACTGAAAAGATTAAGTTACTGATAAATTTTCTTTATGGCTTCACATGGTTCACAACACTATCTTGAATCTCTGAACTAAAAAGCAAAGTAACCTTAGCTGGCTAATCTTAGATCGCAGAAGTGTCGTTTAGATGTCTCGGGTCTCCAGCGCCGATCTAAATCGATATAAATCGTCGATGGGCTGATCAATGCCGCGATACTGACGGCAAACTTGAACTTTTATCCAATCAGGCCGAGGACAACCCAGAAATAGCTGGAGAGATCTAAACGCTCAATTTAGAGATTTTATTGGCATTATTAATGAATATAAATGGTAACAAGTTAACTGCAAAAGATACGGAGCTCGTCCTTGTTGTGGGACTTTTAACTGAAAATCATTTATGCAGGCTGATCATGATGTCAGTGTAAATATGAAGAGAGCAGTACATACGAACCTTACTTTACAACTTTCTGCTCATCGGACTAACAACCGTGTGCAATTGAATGTGTAACGTAGACTTTGTTAGTTTAGGCTATCTCCTCCGGAGCATGTCCGTTTATAAACTCGACCATTGTTCATTAAATTGTGCAAACATGTACGCAAATAAACCTAATTAGATTCTAAATATTGCTGGTTTTACATTCCTAATAAGTGTAATCGTATAATTTAATCATTAATCTTGATCTTATTTAATATCAGTTACGTAATGTGATTTGACGAATCTATTGAAAATCGCTTTACTAGTAAGAAATCCATTCACTTGTTGTGCTTATAAAATACCTTTTAGTTGATTGGTGACAATCGCCACTTTGAAACCATTGTTTGTAGCCATGTCACCTCGATTCATTTGCATAGTGTCCTCCATTTGGCCTGAGAGGTCATTCACACGTCTCAATCTGTATCCTTTATCAAGCACCCATAGATACAATTGAACTGCTCGCACGCAAATAGAATGCTCCTTTGACCTCGGTCGTAACCAATAATATTAGCCATCAATTTGCAACATCGTTTAAAAGCAATCAGCTTGCATTGACTGCAGCACATACTTATGATGTCATCATGTATCAACTTTGAATACTGTGTGAAATGAACTAGTGTAGTTACCATATCTAAAGACACGGCGACGCAACTTTTGGGTTGATGCTTACTCATCCCTCAGATAACAGTTAGGTACTTACTTGGATCTTGGATCCCAGATAAGACACAAAAAGGGATTTTTTTTATAAGTAGTTGACCAAAAAAAAGAAGTACTATGGAATAAAGCTGCGCGGGAGTTGATGGCGCGGGCGTGCATCACGCAGCGGGATTGATCTCTTAATCGCGTAGAGCTGGGCTCAATGGATCGACGAGAAATCCCACGAATATGAACCGGAGCCGACGTTTTGGAATTCGGCACCGTTACTGGAGTGATTGAGTGCTCTTAATACTTTACTGTATTTGGAGATATTTTGTGTTCGTTTGATAATAAATATGATTCATAAACACTATCGTGAATCTTTAGAAATCTACTCGTATGTCACCTACATGTTATACATTCGTAGCAACTCACAATATGCGTGTCATTGCAAATCATGCTAAAATTCAGACACCCAAACTGTTTGATAGTTTAAATTGATACCTGAAAGCTTATTCAAATTAAATACCTAGTTGTTTTACATAAAGTGATGATTTTTTTACGTTAACAGATCAAAAGAGAATTTGATTTGCCTCAACTCAAGTGTAACAAATAGCGAGGATGCTGCCTGAGTTCCCTCTACACTTTATCTATTGTTGCGAGCATATTTTTAAGGACAGCGTTTCGCGCTCGTTTCTTGGACAAAGCAGATTATTTTATAAATCCAGTCACGCTCCACTGACCGAAGACAGTGTAAACAAGAAAAAACAAAGAAAGCCTTTAAATAAAGTTTTGCCATAATGCGTTTTGCATAAATTACAGGACCGTGGGACCAATAAGTAAGTAGGTACTTTCCACTTAGATACTCTTAAAAGTAATTTATAAAAACAGTTAAAGAAAATGCTAACCACTTTTGATGGAGATATGGTGCATTGGTTACATGATTAATATGAATACCACCATTACTGATAATGAGCCATTTATTTCATTCCGCATTTTAACAGAAGCAATCAAACAACAACATTACTAATTAGATAAACACCATTAAAATGTGTCTAACTAGGTAAATTAAAGGAAATAAACTAGAGATGAAACGGATAGTTGTTTGGCCGGATACCGGATACCGGATATCCGGCCAGCTGGTAGGCCGGATAGCCGGATATCCGGCGGCCGGATAGTTGGCCCATTGTCTCGTTTCATGTCGTGACGAGTTTAGCGCCGCACAGGTGCTTCGAACGCGATCAGTGGGTCTATTTTAGTAGACTAGTCACACTTTTCGAAAATCGAATCCGTCCGAGTAGAATGTCAGATTTTGCCACTTGTCTAGGGGGCAGATCAATTCGGGCGATTTCGGTTGCTATCGTGAGTGTGTGGTTGAATAGCGAACTGCATGCATCATGTCATCAGACCATCAGTGAAAAAAAGATCGCCTTGGCAATATTTCGACAAACAGATATTTACTTATTTATGTATTCGTCATTAGTGAATAGCCCAGAAAAAGAAATTAGTTTTTTGAAAGGCCTTAATATGGCTTTTTTGTATCTTTTTGGACTTTAAATAAAAGCCGTCATTATTATAAGCCATTTTATTGATATTTACCTCAAAGATTAATGTATTTCATTTTATTAATAGGAAATTGTCGTAGTTTTTTAATATCCGGTATCCGGCCGGATAGTGAGTTACTATCCGGTATCCGGCCGGATAGTAAATTTAGGCCGGATATCCGGCCTACCGGATAGTTACCGGATATCCGTTTCATCTCTAAAATAAACATTTGATTTAATGCGTCTACTATTGCAAAAGTGGTTCTGTTTATTATTGCTTGTTTTAATTTGTTTTCGCGCCAAAAACCCGTCGCGGTCAAGCGCGCGGTGAAACCGAACTTCCTGCGCCCGCGCCGCTTCAATAACAACTCTTACTTTTGCTACCTTCACATAGCGTGAATAAAACCACCAGTTGATTACCTAATGATGATTTTATTTCTAATATACAATGCAGATTATATTATGTACCTTTTTTCCATAATAAGATTTCTAATGTACCTACTATAAATTGTACGTAGCAATGTGTTAATTAAGCCATCATTCATTTTCCATTTTCATTTTCCATCATGCTTTTTATTGTCATATACGAGTATGCACTTATCATGCATGGCATTTTAAACACTGCGAATTAATTATGTCGACTTTCATTCACTAGCTAACAATTCGCTATATGGTCTAAGACTAAAATTTATGTAATACCTAGTATCTACGGTGGGTAAAAGTACAGCGTCATAATTAACTGATGCTAACACGATATTGTACCTACAACTTTACTTTTCTGTTATCTTTGGCTTGTTTGCGCATTGATACCGTGCGAAAATGCTGCCATTGAGTCCGTACTCTCATTCGCATTCATTCATCAGCGAGAATAATGATGAATGGGCGCCCTTGACTGGCACTGAACCCTGGCCTCGCGCAAGACCAGGTCAGGCGTAAATTCGCACATTGTGTCGGTGGACACTGCACTCGACTTTCGACTTTCATTTTCAGAACTTTCCCGTGGCTTTTCTCCTTTATGAACTCGTTTTCATTTCTCGATATTAGCCGGATAATTGGATGATTATGTATGTCTAGGTAACCAACTAAACAAATTAGGTAAAGTGGCCTTACTAGCAAAAGCATTGGCGACGGGATATACAATGCTTACGAGTAACTATCACTTACTCGTATTACTTGGCTAAAATACCTGTACACCTATTCTTGTTTTGTTCGTCAATTTAGATTATTTTATCGGGTTTGACGTCCACGTGGAGATAAGAAGTGCGTATTCCCCGTAATTGTCAGTCCCAGTGATCTCCCGCTGGAACGTGCCTACCGAAATAACTCGAAAGACTCGCACTGACATTTCATACGAAAACGTGTGCACTTGCGACGTGTAACCAGTGGAGAGCAAATAAGTGGGTTCCAGTACCAGGCGAGGCGCAGCTAAAAGATCTGTGCTTACACATTTAAATGTTGAATTTTGAATTGAAGGGAGGGCTTTGTGTGATCAGAGAAGTATTTAGCAATAGGTAAGTGTCATAGAGATTAATTAGGGTATATCTCTTCCCTTTCTTGGCTACACTATTGCGGTGGGCACAAATTGCAAGTGCTCCCTTTTACCTCGGTATACATACATATATTTGATATAATATGTATTGATCTCCAGGTTCTCGTCTACCGAACTCCTGTACACTGTAGCGGACTCAACGGTCCGTGTGCTAACACACACGTGCGCGCCATTGCTCCAAGATCTATTGCAAGATAAAGTTGCTTCCTTCAAGCTACATTAGCAATGGATCTCATTCTACCAAGCACGACGCTATATTCGGGAAATTGGGGAACACTAGGGCTGAGACCTAAGATCCTCTCGATAGTAGACGAATATTACGACTTACTAGGAACATGATACATACAAGACAAGTACTTACTTCATATGAGTTTGTGGAAAAATCTAGGCAAATTTTAAAATTAATGTTAATATTATTTATGTTTACATAAATCATAAATCAACACATAAAAAGTAACGATGGGGTTAGCCACAAAATAAAAGCTAAAATATAATTTCATAAAATACACACTTCTAATTCAACATTTAACTTTATGTATTAAGAAA